TTGGTTCCTGGAAAATGTGCTTTCATATATTGCACGTCATTGTCATTTATTCTCTGATAACAATTTATTATTTGATGAGACCTTCCACAATTGGGACAAATCTTAATTTTAGGCTAGAGAGCAGTCATTCTTGCACTTTTAGGCTGTTAGATATTTTTAAAAATAGAATGTTTTTTATGCCCGAAAAAAATGACCCTATCAACAGTTTAAAAATGATTTAAAATATTTCACTGCTAGAATCTGTACTTTATCTCCCTAAATCTGGTTGGAATTCTAGCAGAAGTCATGTTTTTAGGAGTCACTGTGATACGTTGTGCTCGGCAGGCTGAGTACCATAGATCAGAATGCATTTAGATTTGACTGCTTTCCCAATTATGAATTGTAATTACACAGGATGTAAGTAAGCGTGAGTTTAAGTGGTTGTAAAACTGCTCCAATACTTGTCACACTATTAATTTAATAAACTGAATATTTAGCTAGAGTCTTCTTAATTGCGCATCAGCTGACTGAAAGATTCCTGCAATTGTTGTCATGCTATATTTGGAGCCCCTCTCCCCCCATTATTTTTCCAAAGGGACAGAAAAAGAGACCGAGAGTGATGACACTAATCTCTTTGCCTCTAGGTGTTTATCACACCATGAAAGCCAAAACAATTATTCAGGGCTTCATGGGGTAGTCAAGACTGGTAAATAGCAAAGTGCTATTTCCTTGGAGGATGTTTGCTTGCAGTGTTTCACACTGGCAGAGGGAAAAACCATTCCCCAACAGGAGCAGCTCTCCCTCTGAGCACAAATACAAAGGAACAAAAATGACATTATGTTCTTGCCTGCCTGGGGCAAAAAGAATCACCTATTCCTAACAGGACTTCAGGTGTGTGATTTTTCTTTCTTTTATTAGATTAGAATGTCTGCCCCTTGTAAAATCCAGGCTGTAATGTGGTACTATCAGGGCAGCTGGAGGATACAACTGTGGTACATTATATGTCTTTATGGTAACTTGACACATTCTTGCCATGCAAGAATTTCACAATATAGTCAGATGTAGGAAAGGTAGTAATTATTTTTTTCTCTTTCCAGTCATTTTTTTTCTTGAAGAATTCATAGTTCATTAATTAAATAATAGTTTAAAGTGACACCTCTGAAAAAAATGGAACTAAGTTAAGAAAATAGAAGGTTATTTTTACTTCCAACCCTCTGCAGTTTGCTTCAGCTAGCCTAGCTAAATCTTTAGTGTTAACATAATTAGGTTTTACAGAATAATGTCCTGTTTTACCAGCTATCATTTCAGGTTAATAAAAATATCACATAACTTTAATTGTTACTACTCCATTTTAATCTACCCATCAATTAAAAACATCTTTGGGGTGATAGAAGGCAGAAGGGGAATTCTAGCATTTATTAAATGCTTAACTGTTTAAAAAAATACCCTCTAAAATTATTTAAGTTGTGTTGCTGGGCTTCTTTCAGAATCTACGCTAAAATTGTACTAGATCGAAATGCATTTTATTCAATATTAATGTGTTTTTCACAGATGTTATTTTCTCACTTCTATTTAAATGTAATAATATGATTTATACAGGGAGCCACGTCTGTTTCTTACTTATCTGATTCTTCAGATGCATAATAAGGATGGTAACATATGAGTCACACCTTACCAGGTGTTGAGAAGGGTAAAAGTGCTCTATGTTCTAGAGATTGTTGGTAAAAATTCAAAATATGATACTTGGTATCCTTAATTCTTTCTTACATCATACTGTATTTATGTGCATTTTATGTGGGGAGTTTGTTGGCATTTGTTTTAGGTAACTAAAGGAAAAAGCTACTTTTAGTGTAGGAAAGTAAAAATATAGTTAGTTAAAAGTAAAGAATCATTCTGTAGGGAAATGGTTAGAATAGTCAGAATGTTTGTAGTAGATGAACATTTGATATTTGTTGGAAATAAAATTCATTAGAATCTAGTGCTGATTTCCCGAGGCAAAGAAAGTTGTTCACAACCAGACATTTGAATCAAAATTCGGGGATATCTCTTATCTCTATTTTTCATTCTATATATTATATGGGCCATCCAATTGGATTTATTTTTTTAAAAAACCCTAGATTTTCACTTGGTTCCAAGTTGTGGCTTAGTTGATACCACATCTTTATTAATAAAAGCTAGGAGTAAAAGTGGTAGGAAGAATTTAACTTAAGACTCCTAAAGCTGAAATTTTAAGCCATCCCATATTATAAATACAGAGCTCTATAAACACATAGAACACAAAGTTCAATGTTCCCAAGTACCCCGTTCAACCCTGTAAGCAGAAAATCTGTTAAATACGTTTTCTATTTACTAATTAACAGGAGAATTACATCAAACTGTTTCCCATATTACACAGAGCAGTATGTTTCAGAATACTACATGTTTACATCTAATATTAATGGATTATTAAAGGTGGAGGGTAAAGGAAATAGAACAAAAATTTCATTTTAGGATTTCCTCACAGCTGCCTCAATTCATCCAAAGAGATCCATAACTCCACAGATCCAAGGTTGAGGCAGAGCACTAATGTTATGGTTCATATCTAAATGTTCCCCAAGAGCCTCATGCATTCATAGATGGGGCTTTTGGAGCTGATGGGATTATGAGGGTTTATGATGACTCACTGTTAAGAGGTGGAGTCTGGTTGGAAAAGCAGAGTCACTGGGGGAAAGGCCCGGAAGGGTTTACCTCCCTCCTCTGCTTGTCCCTTTACTGTCTCTGCTTCCTGCCCACCATGACAAGAAATGTTTCTGGTCGGCCATATCCACAAGCCGCATGCGTCCTGCCTTAGAGCCAGCCAGCAATGGACTGAAACTTCTATAAAATATGAGTCAAAATAAACCTCTCCTCCTTTAAGTCATGGGTATCTGGTAATTTTTTCCCAGCAAAGAGAAAAGTGACTAAGACAACAAGCAATAGGGATGCTTGAACTATGGAATCTGGGCCTTCTTCCAACCTGCACCTTCTTCCATATTACTTGGATGAGTGACTGATGTTGGCATGGGGACTTGACCCCTGGATACCTGAGGGACATTCACCCCCAAATATTTGGAGGGCCCAGGGCCAAAGTATCAGTAGAGACTCATGTGCCATTGGGGAAATATTTAAAAGTTACATATCAAGTTTTTGAACCAAGTGTTAAGAAAGTATGTTCTGCCCTGGTACTTGGACACATGTGCTTTCTTAAAGGTTGAAAGCCCAGGTATAGATTCAGAATCCTTGCACTGCTCTGGGTTCTGCATTGGATCCTGGCTCTAGGGAGGACTTATCTATCTTCTTCTCACCCTCACTCCTGTTTTTCCAGCCTTGAAATCTAGGTTTCATTGTTAAAGTCCTCTTCTTGGTCACATGTGAATTCAACAGCAAACTCTCTAGTCCTGGTAACTAATTCATCCTCTGCTAACCCATGTGCCCGCGGCAGTGCAGTCTGGATGGTGCCTACCATCCCGAGTATAGACCCATGAAGAAGCCCAAATCTGCCCCCAAACAGGGTGGAGGACACTTGCCTAGGCTGGGGACTGGGACACAGCTGGAGGAAGGTGAAGTTCCTTCTAAGCAAGGGTCCTCCTTTGCTGGGACTAATGTTCTCCCTTATGCTGTGTATAGTGTCAGAAATGAATCACTCCTGCACCACGACAAGGAAGATTCATCATTTTCTTGTAAATAACAAGTTGCTATATAGTTGAAACTTGGTCCTAGTTTTTGAAAATTTATACTCATCAGTAATGTTGATAAAAGACATCACACTCTCACTCCATGGGAAAGTTAATGGATTAACTCATACATAAGTCTACATTATCCCACCTTAAGGGAAATATTCAAATAGAAATAGAACAAGAAGTAGGACCTCAAATGTGGGTACAACTTACTATCTCCCTTTTCATCCCTATCTTGTTGTTAGGACACAGTATTTTAGATGAAAACAGATTTGCAATGATGCTGGAAAGCAGCAGACAAAATCCACTCAGTTGAGATTTCTTCAAAGGAATAGGCCTTTTAAAAGAACTTGAGAATCCAGATTAAAAAGAACATTTCATTTCCATCACATACCTAAAAGTGAATTTTTATTAAAAGCAGATCACATCACTTCAGGAAATTCAGAAAACTATATCTAAATACACTGAATGCAAGGTATTTCTCATCAATTTAGATTCTTATAGCCTCATAAAGATAAAATGCAGATGAATAGATCAGGTCTTCATTAAATTTTAGAATTAGCTTTTGGAATCTTATGTATTGAATTGTGCAGTGTCTGATTCCTGAGCATTGTGACAAAGCCATGAGTGGATAACGATAAAGTGCATTGATGCCAGAAATAACACACAGTCTGCCTTTGGTTTGTGCTAATAAACTATAAGACAACTTAAACTTCAATTTTAATATTAGAAATGTACCTCATCATAAGCAATCTGAAACTCTATACTATCAGAATTTTCATGTGCATTCTTTGGTGAGCCCAAAATATAATTTTATGTTTATCCTTCTAATATAAATCTCCAATTTATGGTTGGTCACTCTGGCACTAAGCCAAAGCTCTAATTTAGTTCCATCTTTTCTCATTTCAAAAGAGACTGTTGGTTTGAATAACAAACATTCAATTGACTTAGACGTGGGGTGGCAGGCAGTACAGGCATTACCTGTTTACCTTTTATTGCCTTCTTTGAATTGGCTTTTCTGGGAACAAAACCAATAAGACATGCTGTTCCTTCATCTAGTTTTGACTCAGCTTATTTATCAGAAGGCATTTCCCCCCCGTTCCAGCAAAGAGTGGCAGCAGGGTGAAGAATTCAGTCTGGAACAAGGCTTCTGACCTAACACTATCATAGGTTATTGCTCTACCAAGTCATGTAGGAGTTCATTGTCCTTAAGACTCTGGCTTGGACTGATAATTGTTTTTGATTCCAGGAGATGCTGCTGCTAACACATTTATAACATGTAGGACAACATTGTGCTGGGAATGGAATATAAACTGTTTCAGTCTCTTTGAAACTTTGCAATCCCCCCCCCTCCTCCCCTTGCTGTCTTGTACAGTAATTGGCCTAGTAAAAGGCAGAAACAAGAATTTATTACACCTTGGGCAGTACTTAAAACAACTTTATTCTCAGGAACAGCAGTTATGCCTACTTGCTGCTGTATGTTTTGATATTTCATTTAAATTCTTAGTCTGAATATATTCAAAGTCAAATTGCTAATCACTCAATTTCCCTGTTACTGTCCTGGTTCCCCAGGTGGCCTCTTATGATACTCTGTGTAAACACTGTATTTGGAAAGATACATATAGATCAGCATCCCTAGAGCCACATGATCACCATCAATCTGTGAAAATAGCATGACTTAAAAATAAGTCTCTTAGTACTTTGCCAACAGGCTTTGGCATAATCTTGGCAATCACTTAGATCTCTTTCTTTCTTTCTTTTTCTTTCTTTCTTTCTTTCTTTCTTTCTTTCTTTCTTTCTTTCTTTCTTTCTTTGTTTCTTTTTTCTTTTTTTCTGTTATAATTTTTTCCCCAATGGAAATAGTCTCATATTTTGCAGAAGTTGTCCAAGCTAGTGAACATCAATCCATCTTCCTGGGCACTAAATTCATCAGCTGAATGTGTTCAGTCCACACAGAAATCAGTAAAGTGAGTGTGAAACTGCTTGTTGGCTGCTTCTTTCATTTTAAGAAACTGCAATACAAATTCCTGAAATCATTTATGCAGGAATTTTTATTCTTTAAATCTTCCAGTGTTAAAGCAACAAGAAAACATTTAGAATGTCCTTTGGTGGAATCTTATTACACTTGTTATATATGTAAACTGATATTTCTTTGATGCCAGCATGGTCGTTGCCCTTACAGAGAAATCTCTGCACAATGAAACAAAACAGAACAAAAGAGGACAAAATTAAATGTCAGTCTTTGCTGATTTGAATTGGATATGTTAACAGATTGTCTGATAACACAAATTGGCAATAATACAAAAAATCTACATATTACAGTATTTCAAGAAAAATAACTTCATTTGAATACAAAAGGATAGATACACTTTCTTTTTTCCTATAGCCACTCTTGTATAGTGGGTGTGAGCACACACTGGTGACTCAGTGCTGCTTAGATATACAGGGGTATGACTGGCTTGCGCTTTGGGGGGGCTTTTACACATGTGCATCACTAACATCAGACAAAGAAATCTTTCAACCAACAGGGGTTACAGAGCAACGTTCACTAAAGCACAGGTCTGAAGGGATTCAGGGGCTGAAGCAGGCCAATATGGCAGCTTTTAACAGGTTTCCTTATACCCACAATGCACCTGACAGCAAAGAATGCTTCTATTTGGTTGGTCCACACACTGGGCAGAGCGGTACTAGGGTGCACCACAGTAGAGTAGCAAGTGTTTTTAGGTTGGTTGTTTCGTTTGTTCTTTTGTCTTTCCTGTTGGGGGGGCTGTCACAGCCTTTCCAATCCACAATAAGCTCCGCAGCTGGCAATGTGACTCTCAGTGATAATATCGACAACTCCTCTGGAGTCAGAAATTAGCAGTCTTGACTCCGATCTGTGGTTGTCCACGTCTGATAAATATGGCTTAGTTCAGTTAGGCCTTCTTAGTTTGTACACTGTGTTGGAGTGTGTGTGTGTGTGTGTGTGTGTGTGTGTGTGTGTGTGTGTGTTTTCTAGTTAATAGCAAATGCTTGAATTGTGTTCGCTTCCCCACGGCACAGGCCTGTCGGATGGCTGAAAGCGATGCCTAAAGCGCCAAGGGGCCGGCGGTCCGCAGCAGCGCGGCCAGCGGCGGCAGCAGCAGCAGCAGGGCGGGGGAGCCCCGCGGGGACGCCGCCTGGCTGGAGTCAGAGCCGCAGCTGCCCGCCTCCTCGCAGCGCAGCTTCTCGCAGAGGATGCCGGTGTACGCGGCTGGGCACAGGCAGCGCACGTTGTTGTGGCACGTCCCTCCGTTCTGGCAGTGCAGGAGCTCGTTGTCGCAGACATTCGCTGCAGAATGGGGGGAGGGGTGCGGGAAGAAGAAGCAGAATCAATTTAGGTTCATCTGGTACATCATGTTTTCAGCTTTAAAAACATCTCTATTGATCTTGTGATCTTGCGCTCCCCCCTCCCCACCACAAACTAAGCCTGTGCCTCCAATTTCCAAACAAATGCTGCCTTTGTTTTGATCATATTAGTCTTTTTTTTCTATAGATTTTTGCTGCAATCTTCGATATTATCGTTGTCCATTTCGGGCTATCCAATACCAAAGTAATGCAGTACTCCTGGGCTGGCAGTTATCGTCTCTTTATGGACCTGCGACCTGTTGTGACCTCCTGGGTTTTTAAAGGACAAATGCCTGATACAAGAATGCTGAGCTCTGAAGCCAGATGAGTGGCATTTAAAATGCAAAGCAGTTTTGGTGAAATGACCCAGAATCTCCAAGGGGCGGGCCGCCCTCCCTGTGTTGCTCCAGCAGCTGTGTACATGCAGACGGAGCCCAAAGGGAAGCAGGAGGATGAGGGGTGGGGATGGGGAAGGTAGCATTCTCTGGGCAAGCAGCAGCCAGATGGGAAGAGGGAAGGCTTGTTTCACAGGAGGCATGTGAGGAAGAGCAGGCACATTTGTCCTGACAGCCTATTAGTATTTTTATTGCCTTATAAATACAGGAAGCAGAGCCCAGGGTTACCTTGATTCCCGGAAATGGTAATAAATGCAATGGTGAAACCCTGATTACCAAAATTTCATTATGTCCATCAATTAATAACATCAGTTTGAATAAATCAAGACAAGCAATTCAAGACTAAAATTCACTCCCAGCCTTTGTCATGTAACTTTCACCTCTGATAATTTTTATATCTTCACAATTCTGGTTAACCTCATTAATTCCGTGTCTCTATTCTTTTAGATAATCAAGGTTTCACTGATTTAGCAGAATGCTAAATAGAACCCAGGGAAATTAACACAACAACAAAGAGTAAAAGAGCCAAGAACACTTCTGAACAACAAATGCTGCTTAAGCACTTCATCTGCAGACCCCTCTAGAGTAGGGGTGGAGGTGGGGGACAGAGCAGAAAAAGTAGCTTTTTTATAAATCATAACTTTTTATTTAAAAAATGATAGTGTCAAATTCTCCAGATATGTCACATAATTAAACAGACAGACACACTCATACACACATTTAATGTTACTTTTAAGGGAATATTGCTGTTTAAATAACTGCCGCCCTCCAAGTAGTAACTGTAGAGTGAATGCTGCTTTGTCTATTAATAACATTCAGTAATAATGTCACCTTCAAGAGAATCCTCTTACATACAAACACATTAATATTCTGTATGCAAGTGAGCTGAGAAAAGATGGTGGTAGATATCCACAGAACTAATAACAAAACTCCCTAAACAGGGGCCTGGTGGATTTCCTTCTTCAACATTCCTTTGATGACTTCCAAGGCAGTCAGACATAGTGTGTAGGTATAATTTGCAAATGTACCCACATTTGCTATCTATAAATTCAGCAGTGACTGTGAAGGCCACCAATTTCTTCAGACTCAAAATACTGATATAAAAGACAATGTTCCATAGGTTCTAATTATTACATAAGCTCCTTCTTATTGAATGGCTTAGAAATCATAAGCAATACACTGAAATTAGAGTATTTTATGAATTATGGTTTAAAATGTGAAAATCTCTAGCTATGAAGCAAAAGCTTCAAATATAGAGTGGTTGGCCTAATGGACAAGGGTAACAAAAGCCCTGTTTTTTGTGGTTGTTAATTTGGAAAGCATACATAGATTTTCAGGATTTTGTTTTGCTTACACTTCAAGAAATATCTGTTTAATTGGGGTAATATGGAATAAACAGATCCCAATAACTGTTTCCATTTAAAATTAAAGATTCTCAGCATTTCTTGTTCTAGGAAGCAGATTGCTGAATGGGATATTTCCTTTCATTTGAGCACTAGAGGTAAGGAATATCTGTTCCATCAATATCGATAATTGCTTGCCTTGAATAATTGAGAAGAAATCAATAGTTAATTAAATATCATTCCCCCTTTTTATAAAAAGCTATTTTTCTTCTACTTGGACCTGAATGTAAATCAGTTTTTGAACAGAGGTTTCTTTTTTTTTTTTTTTTTTAAGAAGCTGGTGATTAAGTTAAAATTCAATATCTTTCCTACACTTAAATAATCTACTACTTGATTTTAATGGTCATGAGAAATTTAATGAATACACAAGGAACAGATATAGCCCAGGATTAATCATTTTCTGGGTGGGGGAATATATTTTCTGTAGAATATAAATAGAAAATATGAAACCTAGAATATATTTAATTACTTTAGAATTTACTCTAAGACATTACATTTGGTCTCTTGGTTGTATTAGTCCTACTAAAATTCAACTAATACAGAATTTTATAATGCACACTATCTGCTGGAATCATATGCTAGAAGCATGTTTAAACCTAACTACAAATCTCACCTAATGTTCATAACCTCGTGCTCCACGTTCATGTAATTTTGTATCAAAATTGTGTTGGTTAATGAACAAACTAGGTGGATAAAAATCATTGAGCTCTTCTTCAGCATATAAAACCTTGTACTAAACACTATCAAGAAAAGCAAAGAAACATAAAGCGTGATCTCTGCTCTTATGGAGTTCCAGTTTGGTTGGGAGGCTAAAATATAGAAATGGCCCAATATTCATTTAATTAAAATGCCCTTATTCATTCCATCCAACTCAACCAACATCTGTTTTGTGTCAGGCTTGCTGCTAGAACTTATGGTTGTAACTCTAACTGGCCTAAAAGAGCTCACAGTTTGGTGGAAAATAAGCACACATATACAGAAATTTAAAAAGACTACATAGGAAATATTTGCAAACTGCTAGTGAAACTCAAACGATGGTGTAAATAATTGCTTTGGGGGAAGATTAGGAAAGATTTTAGAAAAGACATTGTATTTGAATAAAGGTTGCATTGGCAGAATTGGTAGAAAGAACATTATGGATGGGGAAACTATGAGTAAAGGCAAGGGGAAGGAAGGCAATGGAATTAATATGAGAAAATGAAAAATGGAAACAAAGTCTCTGTAAATAGGGAGGGATGGAGGGGTTGAAGGGAGGGCAGGGGAAGGGGGAAAAATGAGAACCAAGAGAGATTATGTAAAGGTGCAAATTTCCAATGATGAATGTCATTATATTGTATACCTAAAAATGTACCAATAAAATAAAAATTAAAAAAAAAAGAAATACAGTGATGCTGGTTAAACAGTTGTCCCGAACCCTACATCTGCCCTTCTTTTGTTGAAGCCAGAATCCCGGTGGAAGTTGTCTTCGGATTCCACCAACAAGGAGCAGTAGAGGGAGCAAAGAAGGAAGGATGTATGAAGAAATTTCTTTGTTTCAGACTGATGACTCTTCCTCATCGTATTGCCTCAGCAATGGACTTCATCCCTACAGCAGGATTTGGTTCCAGTGCTCAGCTTTATTCAGAACCAGCTTCATGTCAACCATGAACGTTCCTGCACCAGCCTGGCAAGAATTCTTCCCTGGTGGCTTGAGCCCCATCTCCTGTTACAGAGATGCCAGGCAGTAGTTAGGCACTATCCCTCCTCAGAGGTGCACATCTCAGCCCCATGAAGTCCCTTGGTCCACTCTCTTAGTTCCTGAAAACCCTGTCCTCTTTCCTATAATTCTTCAGCCCCGGAGTAGTAGCTGCTACTACTGTCTAGTAGTTACTGTCTCAGTGTTTCCTCAGTGTCCTCTTCTTATTGCTAAATTCTCAAACACCTGTTTATTCATTTCCTGCAATCAGTTTTCGCTGTTGAAAAAACTGGCAAAGTATCAGTTTTTTGACAGGGAGCCTACTTCAGAGACAAGTGGAAGATGAATGAAGTGAATGAAAAATGGGCTATGGGTGCAATGCTGAATGTGCATGGGGCCAATGGAGACCAGAATGGTAGGTGATATCCTGGTTGTGAATGTGTTACATAAAACACTGCCGAGTTTAGATAATGGGCAATGGGAAGTTGTCAAAGATAAGTGAGTGGCAAGGCATAGAGTTTTAAAGGGAAAAGAAAGGTGAGGCTAGAACAGACAAGGGTCAGGTTAGAGCAGTGGGAAGAGAAAGGAAGGAACTGATTTAGAGATGGCTTATGTGAATTTCTAAGGTTCCTGTTTTGGGTAAATCATAAATTTATTAAGAAAAGGAGATAGGAGGAAAAGTTTGGTCAAAGAAGACTGAAAATTTTTTGGATCAAGTGTCTTTGAGGAGTCTATAGCTTTCATAGGTGTTTTGGTATTAGAAAAACTACTTAATGTTTCAGGTGATAGATAATTCATCTTGGAGATACAGATTTGGGTGGTCATTATTATGAAACTGAAGCAAAGAGGAAAGCATCATGCTGAGAGAATATAGATCAAGTGCAAATGAGGACTGTACCTACAACACCGGAAAACACATAGCATTTATACCATAGAGAAAGCAAGACTATGAGGATGCTGAGAAAAGATGCCAACAAACTGCAGTGATCATACGAGGGTCTGAAATTAATCACAGAAGTCTCCTGCTGAGGATGACTATCTAGGAATTATAGGCAGACCATAAGAGTGAGAGAAAGGGCACTTTTAGTTGGACAAAGCAAATATGTAAAATAAGCACTGCATATTCTTGATTGAATCTGACAGAAAGGATTTTGGAATAATTAGAAAAAGATCTGGAAAAATTGAAGAATTAACATTTAATGAGGGTCTTTCAATGTCAGTCTAAAGAAGTGGTTCTCAATATTGGATGATTTTGCCTGTCAGGGGACAGTAGATGATATCTGGAGATGGATCTGTTGTCACCAGTGGGTAGGGAGGGCCTGTGACTGGTTCCTAACGGGTTGAGGCCAATGATGCTGCTAAAAATCCTGCAGTGTACAGGAAGGACAGTTCCTGACAACAAAAATTGCTCCTCAATTGGTGTTAGAGGTAAAATGAGGACGTTTTGGATCAAGGTGCAGCCATACCAGTG